CATGTTAATGGGAGTTATTCCGTTGTCTTCTGAACACATTCAGAAGACAACGGAATAACTGATAAACACGTTTGTTTTTAATCAGAACGGCAGATGATTGACTGGAGACAGGATTAATCTTAGCCCGGCTGTTAGCCCGGCTGTTAGCCCGGCTGTTAGCCCGGCTGTTAGCCCGGCTGTTAGCCCGGCTGTTAGCCCGGCTGTTAGCCCGGCTGTTAGCCCGGCTGTTAGCCCGGCTGTTAGCCCGGTCTGGAGCAGGCTAGCTGCAAAGAATAAATCACCATGGTTACTTGGCTGCGTTTAATTGCTTTCGTGTGAAAGCTAAATTCACCCAGGATAACTTAATCCCGTATCCTGGTTTTGGTGTGATCGCCCTCCGTTGTTCAGTAACATTTGTGTGTGTGTGTCTGTGTGTGTGTGTGTGTTGTCTCCCCCTCAGTCGTCCCCTAACAATAGAGGCGGAGCTCTAAGTGATGACGAAGCTCTGTCCCAGCTGAAGAAGGGTCATGACACTATGTGTGTGATGCTGCGCAGCCGACACAAGAACCTGGAGACGGTCCGGTCTGTGTGGGTCCGAGAGGACATCAAGGTGAGACAGGTGTGTTTCTGTCCCACAATTCCTTGCGGCAGCAATATTTAAATAGTGACGTGTCTTTGGTCCGTTCACGAGAAGTATTGATGACGTAGAAACGCAGATCATGTGAGTAACCCTCCTAACCACCTCCTCTTGACCCCATGACCTTTTCCACAGAGGTCAATGAATCGTGGTTAGGAGGTCAGTTTTTGACAATTCAAATCCAGCCCGGGTGTGTAGAGGCTCACTCGCGTCCTTGGTGCTGGTTGGAGGTTTACAGGAATCAGGAAACATTTGTTGCCAAAATATGTCAAACATACAAGGAATTTGTCTTGGCGGTTGGTGCGCGACAGTAGATCATCAAGAAGTAATAAAATAAAGTGGAATGAAATGCTAATGCTATGGGTTAGTAGAATAAGGCTATGGGTTAGTAGAATAAGGCTATGGGTTAGTAGAATAAGGCTATGGGTTAGTAGAATAATGCTATGGGTTAGTAGAATAAGGCTATGGGTTAGTAGAATAAGGCTATGGGTTAGTAGAATAAGGCTATGGGTTAGTAGAATAATGCTATGGGTTAGTAGAATAAGGCTATGGGTTAGTAGAATAAGGCTATGGGTTAGTAGAATAATGCTATGGGTTAGTAGAATAAGGCTATGGGTTAGTAGAATAAGGTAATGGGTTAGTAGAATAAGGCTATGGGTTAGTAGAATAAGGCTATGGGTTAGTAGAGTAATGCTATGGGTTAGTAGAATAATGCAATGGGTTAGTAGAATAAGGCTATGGGTTAGTAGAATAATGCTATGGGTTAGTAGAATAAGGCTATGGGTTAGTAGAATAAGGCTATGGGTTAGTAGAATAATGCTATGGGTTAGTAGAATAATGCAATGGGTTAGTAGAATAAGGCTATGGGTTAGTAGAATAAGGCTATGGGTTAGTAGAATAATGCTATGGGTTAGTAGAATAAGGCTATGGGTTAGTAGAATAAGGCTATGGGTTAGTAGAATAAGGTAATGGGTTAGTAGAATAAGGCTATGGGTTAGTAGAATAATGCTATGGGTTAGTAGAATAAGGCTATGGGTTAGTATAACAAGTATTACTCGTCACTTTGTCACTTGTCTGTTACTTGTTCGTTAGTGAACTTTATGCTTAATATTTTTCTTTTTAACTTTATTCCCTTGTTTTCTACTAACCCATAGCCTTATTCTACTAACCCATAGCCTTATTCTTACTAACCCATTGCATTAACATTTCATTCCACTTTATTTTATTACTTGTGCACTGTTGTCTTGTCTGTCTACTGTCGCGCACTAACCGCCAAGACAAATTCCTTGTATGTTTGACATATTTTGGCTAATAAATGTTTCCTGATTCCTGAAAACAAGAATAAAGTTAAAAATTAAAAATATTTAAAAAGTTTAAAAATATTAAGCATAAAGTACAATATCGAACAAGTAACAAAGTGAAGTATGAAGGGGAGTGACCGGTGGGATGTCAGTCAGTCAGCGGGGGTCCGGCTCTGTTGAGGAGGTCTTAGTCCTGATGGACCTCAGCCTCCTGCCAGATGGAAGGGGCACAAACAGGTTTTGTCCGGGGTGAGAGGGGTCGGCTACCATCTTTTTAGCTGCTTCAGAGACCTGGAAGCGAACAAGTCCTGCAGGGACGGCAGATTGCAGCCGATCAGCCTCTCTGCAGAGCGGAGGACACGCTGTCCCCATGAAGACCTGGTCCTGTTGTCTCTGTGGGCATGTCACATCTAAATGAAGTGTTGGTGGAGCTCATATCGTCCTTTTGCTCCACATTGATGAATTTACTAAGAAGTGTTGTGGTGAAATGCAGCGATGTGATTGGTTCCCCGTTCTGCAGAGCGCTCTGGATGCTGCTGTCTCAATGAACGATCTGTCCATTGTTGTGGACATCCTGAACATCATCAACCTCCAGCCGTGAGTCCTCTTCATCAGTTCCACCCATTATCTCATATCGTAAATGATTACATATGTTTCCATGTGAAATGATGCGTCATGTGACCAGCGCTGAGTGAGCGGCTAGCAGCTAGCAGCTAGCACCAACAGGCTCTCAGCTGTGTGTCACTTGTGAACATTCACAATAAGAGGGGAGTCACTTCCGATAATAAGCATAAGTTAGTATGTATTAAATACCAGTTTAAATGAATGAAGTCTGGTTATGAATTTGATTGATTGTTTTAGGTCGCTATGGAGACTGGACCTGTGCACAACCACCCTCCCTCAGATCGACCAGCTGCTCCACAGTAAATATGAGAGGTGAACCTACGATCAGTTTAGTGTGATTAACCAAAGCGATTTCACCAACAATGAATCGATTTCATGTTTTTACCGCAATTGTGTCTTGGCGGTTGGTGACAGTAGACAACAAGACAGCAGTGCACAAGTAATAAAATAAAATGCTAATGCTATGGGTTAGTATAAAATAAGAGAATAAAGTTAGTTAAAAATAAAAAATATTTAAAAAGTTAAAAAAATATTAAATATATTTACACATTTCTTCCCACAAAAGCTCTTCAATCTGATCCGTTCTCTCGTAAACGTTCTTCCTTTTAATAACGGCCGTATTGTGCTGTGAAAACGGAGACGTGAGACTCCGTAAAGGACGTAGTCAGAGACCGATCACAGCCTGCTGCTGCAGGACGCTGCAAAGCTTTACACGCTGGTCTACAAAAATGGGTCGACGCACGCAAGGAGGTGAAAAGACACGCAAGGGACACGCAAGGGACACGCAGGGGACACGCAAGGGGGTCTTGCGTCTTTGCGTCTCTCTGAAAACGCAGAAGCATAAACGAGGCTTAAAGCGTCATTGTGTAAAATCGTGTACTTTAGACACAAACTCCAACATGTGATCATGTTGGAAGTTTAACTACGTCTTTTGCTCTCAGCTCGCCATCATTTGATGTTTCAAGTGCCAACAATGTCCCCACAGTTAGACAGGACGTTTTCAAACCAGGTAGACGTTAGCAACTGTTGCTAACTGCTAAGCTAACTGCACTCGTCCACCTTCTGTTTGACACGTGGAAGAATCTCAGGCCACATTTACACATCGCCGGGTATTTACAGAAAGGAACAGTTCTGCCCCTTAGTTTTCAAAAATAACGTCGTACACACAAGTTTGTTTATATGAACCCGCATAGATACGACCCGGGCGCCATCATAACTGTGCCACTGTAGTCGGCAGTGTAACGAGAAGGATAAAGACATGGAAACTAATCAGAATTGGCATACTGTGACGCTTGACAACCTAAAACTCTGTTTGACCTTGTTCACACGCAAACACAAAAAGAGTTTTTAGAAAAGATCGTTTTTGTGTAAATGAAACCCCAAAACGCATGAAAATATACGCGTTTTCCCATCGTGTAAACGGGGTCTCAGTTGGGTTTGTTTTACTTCCAATGCAAAAAGCTGCCTCGCTCTCTGCATCTAACTGACTGCAGCACACGTCGGCTTCAGGGGTCAGGGGTCAACACACACAATTGTACTCGCATAGATTATTGTCTTGACTTTGACATCCCCAATTCTTAATGATCTGACACTTCAATGTGAACCGTGTGTGTGTGTGTGTGTAGCTACATTCAGACCGGCTGTACGTCCCTCAAGCTCATCATGAAACATTTCTGGACTCTGATCTCTGAGACTCTGAAGGCGACTCCGTCTGTCGGGGTCGACATCACGCGAGAGGAGCGGTGAGTCAGCACAAAGTCACGTGACCCGCTTGTGGGGTTGGTGGTGCTGAAGATGATGACGTTTGTGTTGCAGACATCAGAAGTGCAGAGCGATCTGCAAGCAGCTGAAGAACCTGAGCAACCTGGTGGAGAACAAGGCACTGCAGGTCGGTCGTCATGGCAGCGCCTTCAGAGAGCTGCAGCTGCTCATGGCGCCGCTCGACGACTCGCTTTGACAGGTTCTACCGAGGATGAAGATGTGGCGGCTCGGCCTACGGACATCAGGAGCTCATTTATAGATTCATGACTGATGAGGAACTGTTCTTCATAGACATTCTCTAATGAGGGCGCTGAGGACATCGGTAAAAGGGTTCTCCAAGGAACCCAGAAGAAGCAGGTCAAAGGGAACAAAGGGATTCCCCTTGAAGTTTGGATAGAAGTCTGTCTGATGACGCTGTTTAGCTTAGCATGAAAACATGTTCTTTAGTCTGGATCAATCAGTGCCGCTGCTCACCTGGATCAAAGGTTGGTGACGAGTGGGCTAATTTATATATTTAATCCATCAGCGATTATTTCTGATGGTAATCTGATGTCTTTTCTACTATAGACGACATGTGTAAATGCCTTGTTGTAATTGTTTAATCAAATAAAAAGTTGTACATGTTGGATCAGAATAGTCTCTTTCCTCTCGCACACGTTTCTAACTGCTCATTTGGATATAAAACATGGAGACATTAGTTTATATTTGCTTTGGATATTTATTAAAAATGGAATAAAAAAACAGTATAAATCTACAGAAGACACACTGACCCTCTGAGCTTTATTGTTACCAACAGCCACCAACTCAGCCAAAGGTCAAAGGTCTCTGCTGGGTCTACAGAGACAAGCCATCAAAGAAGACAAAGCTCCTTCAGCATGAAAAATAAAAACATCCACCAGTAGTCCGGATGGTACCGGTCGTATTGATGATTGGACCTTCAGTACCTGGGCTTCCCTGATTGGATAAAGGGCCACGAGGACACAGACTCCTCCGATTAAAACTGCACAAAGGATCTCTGAAATATGATTAATACTCATTGTTTTCAACTCAAGCACAAAATGAAATCATGTCATATATTAATATCAACCACATCATGGATAAGAAAAAAAATCTCAATATTTAAAGTGCGACTTTACAAAAACAAAAGAAATACTGTCAGTGGAACTTTATACTGTTATGAAAGAAGAAATAGTTCATGATTTTATTTTAGTCATAATTTAGATCTTTGAATGTTGTTCATGATGTTGTAGATGTCACAAAGGCAGACGATTCAAAAAGCCACGTATACCATCTGCCAGGCTGTCGGACCTCCACCCGTCAGGCTGTCGGATCTCTACCCATCAGGCTGTCGAACCTCCACCCATCAGGCTGTGAGCTTCAGTCGTCCTGAAGAAAACCAAATCATCAGTGAGTCATGTGACCTAATCCCACTGGGGCTCTAAGAACGTTGCCTGTCACCTCAAAAGGTTGAGAATTAGTCAACGTTTCCGTTTCTTGACTTTAACTGCAAACACTCAAAGACAACAGGAAGGGCACCGTCCTGAGGGCTCAGGGACCCCCCCCCACGACCCGAGGCGCAAGGCGCTACGCCATGCAGAGAGCTTCCATGCATTACAGGTCATTTAGCTGACGCTTTTATCCAAAGCAACTTACATTACATTTTTAACCTGTGGCTTTATACAGTTTTGCCCGGGGAGCAATTAGTGGTCAGGTGTCTTGTTCAGGGACACTTTCACATGGAGCAGCCGAGGCTCGAACCACCAACCTTGCCCTTTGCCAAGATTCTCACCAATCAGCATCCACCCCCATCTCCCTTCCTGCCATCCTAACCCACCATCTGCCTGTCTGCCTGCAAACCAACCAATCAGACGACAGAAGGAGGAAACAGAAGTAATCGGTATCAAGTATCAGAAGTGTGACTCCTCAAAGACCACCAATGTTGGTCACGGAGTCCCGCAAGGTTCTGTACTTGGACCGATTTTATTTACCCTCAATATGCCTCCTTTGGGCGATCTTATCAGGAAACACCGCATAAACTTCTAGACTTCAACTGTATCTGTCGATCAAGCCAGAAGAGACGGGCAGATTCGGTCAGCTCTTTTAAAGTAAAACTTAAAACGTTCCTCTTTGATTGTGCCTATAGTTAGGGCTGGCTCAGGTCAGCCCGGACCAGCCCTTAGTTAAGCTGCTATAGGCTTAGAATGCCGGGGGACTTCTTAGGACACACCAAGCTCCTCTCTCACGCTCTCGTTCTACCATAATTCACGTTTTATTAATGCACATGACTAACAATGTGCTTTTCGGGAGTTTTTTTTGTGCTTTCTCCCCTATCAGGTCTCCGTAGATCGTAGATCGTAGTTCCTTCGATGTCGGTACTGTAGAACAATTAATGTTAATATGTTTCAATCACTGAATGAAGCCGACATATTGGGGACAAGAATCAAGACCTTAAATAGCTTGAACTAAACTCTTGATCATCACTCAGCATGTTTATGGTTGTCGTTCATTTAACCCTCTTAATTTGTCCTGTTATCGACGTGTCTAATGCGCAACCAGATATTCAAATATCGGTGTTTTTTAAAAGCGAATATTCAAACGTCATTTTTGAGCAATCTTGACAGCCCTAATTTGTACTGCGTGCTGGTACTTGTACAAGTAGACAGCTGACGTGTATTTGTACTGCGTGTGTGTACATTTACCGGTGGACAGCTGCGACTGGGACCTCCTGCGGGAGCCGCTTGGAGTTCTAGAGGCGGAGGAGAGGGTGGAGCCGGCGCTGCTGGCCCGCGAGATGGGGAGAGGGACGGGTGTGACGGGGGGAGAGTCCAGCTGGTGAGAGGTCAAAGGTCAAAATGCAGCACTAGATTTGTACACGATGTAAAGCTCTCCACATACACGTGTAGAGTAGAATAAAGAGAACTCGGGTCTCAGTGTCCCAGTCACCTCGACGCTGTCGTGCGTTGGCGAGGACGAGGTGGACGAGTACTCGTGTCTCCTGGAAGACGAAGACGAGGACATCAGCTCCACGCTGCGAACGCGCTGAGCGAATTTCAGCGAGCAGACGGACTCGCTCATGTTACCGGGGAGCGGAGACACCTGAAGGCACCACGGAGAACCACAGAAGAAGGAACACGTCAGTGCTGTCACACACGTGAGACCACGTCCTCATAACGGATTATCTCTCCTGGATCTGACTGGAGACTTTACTTAAACTCTTCCCAAACATCTTTTTGAAGACAAGCCTTCATCAGAGGAAAGTATCAAATCAAACTGGTGAGCCTCTGCAGGGCCCTGAGCCCTACGTTTGGAGTTTGCAAAAATTGGTTTCTATGTTCCTGCTGAAGAAAATATATCAATCAATATAACACACAAAAGAAACCTTCAAATTTTGAAAACTGCCTAAAAAAAAGAACTAACAGCCATATAAGTCCAATAAACATGGAGAAACCAGACAATAGACAAAACAACAAAAGAGATTCTTTGTTACAGTTCTCACCATTCGTAGTAAAATCCTCAGATTGACTGAGATCAGAGATCTCGGGCTGCGGTGGTTCGATTTTGCAAGTTTCAACCCCTCTTTTCAATCGGCTGATCCTATTGGATCGTAGTAGCATGACATGATTAAGAGTGGCAGCTCCCTGAGCCACTCAAAAGCCTGAAGGCATTGAGCATAAAATGACTCTTTCTCGCCGAGCAGGTCTCCGTAGATCGCAGTTCCTTCTGGACGCTGGTCCTGACACCTGACACAGTCATCACAGACCAACATCACCTCTCCTCAAGTCTTTGTGCTCTCCCCACAGGGTCTGTGGACGGTGGTTCTATCTGACGGTGGTGGTTCTATCTGACGGTGGCTCTACGTGATGGTGGTGGTTCTATCTGACGGTGGTTCTACGTGATGGTGGTGGTTCTATCTGACGGTGGTTCTACGTGATGGTGGTGGTTCTACCTGACGGTGGTTCTACGTGATGGTGGTGGTTCTACCTGGCGGTGGTTCTACCTGGCGGTGGTTCTACCTGACGGTGGTTCTACCTGGCGGTGGTTCTATCTGACGATGGTTCTGTGGGATGGTGGTTCTACCTGATGGTGGTTCTATCTGGTGGTGGTTCTACGTGACGGTGGTTCTGCGTGATGGTGGTTCTGCGTGACGGTGGTTCTACCTGGCGGTGGTTCTGCGTGACGGTGGTTCTACCTGGCGGTGGTTCTATCTGACGATGGTTCTGTGGGATGGTGGTTCTACCTGATGGTGGTTCTATCTGGTGGTGGTTCTGCGTGACGGTGGTTCTGCGTGACGATGGTTCTGCGTGACGATGGTTCTACGTGATGGTGGTTCTACGTGATGGTGGTTCTACGTGACGGTGGTTCTACGTGACGGTGGTTCTACGTGACGGTGGTTCTACGTGACGGTGGTTCTGCGTGACGGTGGTTCTGCGTGACGGTGGTTCTGCGTGACGGTGGTTCTGCGTGACGGTGGTTCTACGTGATGGTGGTTCTACGTGATGGTGGTTCTACGTGATGGTGGGTGTCCCTGCAGTGGTCCTGCCGTACACCTGCTTACTACTCACATTATTTGATCATCTCTGTCATATGAATTGAACGTATTGTTCATCTACATTGTTCGTTGCGTCCACATGACATCATTGTATTCTGTCCATCAGGAGACGGATCGTCCTCTGACGTCCTCACTGAGGTTACTTCCATTTTTCTCATTTTTTTAACAGTTTTTCCTGTGAGGATGTTGCGTCTCTGAAAGGTTTGTCTGAACGCTTACAGAGATCACTGGATTCCACGTTGAACGCTCTATGGATTTTCTCCGATATTTGCTTGTAGCTCAGATGTTTTCGTGGATATTTGATGTTTTTTTATGTGGTGTAATTACCGATTCTGTGGTAACCAACCAACCAGGGCGTCCCGTGGTCTCACCTGAACCATCATGAGGGTCTTGCTGTCCCCACTCAGCGAGTCCTGCAGCAGGTAGGTGAGGCGGGAGTTCCTGAAGGGGACGTGAGCGTGGCGGCCGCGCAGCGCGTTGATGACATCACCGAGCGCCGACAGAGACTTGTTGATGCACTGAGCTTCTCTAAGGCGACTTCCCTCCGCGCCGGACTTTCCGATCCTTTCCGAGCCCGCCAGGTCCACCAAGTTCAGTTTGCCTGTGACCCGACAACAGCAGAACCCAGCAGGACCCGTCAGCACCAGCATAGACGCGCTCTATACTAATCAACTGCTTTAAGGAACGAAGGTCTTAGAACACCTGGAGGAGCCACGAGGTTCTGTTCGGAGGAACCAGACCACACACAAAAAGCCCTGTGACATCACTAGCATGACCTCACGGTTTCCATGGTGATCGGCGTGCAGAGCTGTGTTTAACATGAGCGGTGTGTACCTTGTGTGTGGTTCCCAGTAGCAGAGTTGAATCCAGACACGGTGATAATGAGCAGAGCGTGAGAACGAGAGCTGTGCTCATTCAGGTTGGTGCAGGCGGTTGCTCTGTTCATGTGACCCAACTCAAACACCTGAAGGCACACACACACACACACACACACACACACACACACACACACACATTAAAATGAGGAATAAAAGTGTCGCCTTTACTCTGAAAGGACAAGCACAGCAGGAAGTCCTCACCCTGTTGATGTCCTCGGGGCTCTGGACAGTGATCTGGGTGAGTCCGGGGACGTACAGCTGTCCGCTGCCGTCAGGGTTCATCTTGATGTCCAGCTTGTCAGAGGGATTCTCCCCCAGCAGGTTCCTAGTGAAGAACAGAGACCGTTACAGCCTGCAGACTGGACTCAACAATCTGACCCACTGGTCTGGGATCAGGTCTACTGACCTTAGGGTCTCGTTGTAGATCTCCACCATACTGACGGATATCCTGTAGTCCCAGTCTGGAGCTTTGTCAGTCACCTCGGAGAAGAGCAGGCGCAGAGCTCGCTGGTTGATGCCGGGGTTATCCACTGCGCCCTGAAACAAAGAGACCCCAGGTTGTGGTCGGATCCGGTCCTGGTGCCACCTCAGACCCAGTCGGTGATCTTACCTCCATGGTGAAGGTCTTCCCGGAGCCAGTCTGTCCGTAGGCGAATATGCAGACGTTAAAGCCGTCGATACAGGAAGTGACCAGCGATTGGACCTCCTGAAACACCTGGTGGACCAATCAGAGAGAAGGAAACTCCTCAGACTGTCCTTGTGAGGAGACACCGAGTGCTGCCTCAGGATCAGTTTGTACCTCTTCCTGTGTGGCCCGAGGGGGGAAGACCTTGTCCAAGTCAAAGGTCATCATCTTGCCCTTGTTGGACAGGTAGAGGACAGCGTCGTCCTCCGAGTCGAAGCTGAGCATCGTCACAGAGTCCTGCTCCACGAGACTGACAGGCCGGACCCGGCAGAAAACACGAATGTTACCTGAGAGACAGAGAGCAGGGACACGTGAGACATCACGTTTGAGACAGGAAGACACGACTCTGACGGATCTGATCTGTGTGTTGGTGTCATATTTAAGATGAGACAATAATAGCGATTCGTCGGGACCTTTGAGTCGAACCAGCTCGTTGTGACATTTCTTCCTCAGGTTCATCTCTCTCTTGTATTTATGCAGAAGCTCCTGATTGGTGGAGCTCACCTCGCTGATCACATGGCAGATCTGGGACACACACACACACACACACACACACGTGTAAATCTCTTATGTTACAAATCTGATCATCAAATCAAATAACTGTTAGAATCCACAACTTTCAGGTGATGTTGCACAATAACAACGTCCTCATAAGAAGAGTGGAGGACTTTGCTAATCTCACAGACGGAGGACAGGCAGAGGAAAGACAGATGGAGGACAGACGGGTACAGACAGACGAGGCCCCATCAGGACAGAAGAGGTCACCTCCTGCTTGGCCTCGCTGATGGCCTTGTCCAGCATGAAGGGGAACTCCTGCACCTGTCTCTTCAGACAGTTGTAGTCACAGGTGAGGGTCCGGAGGGCCGGCTGCAGGGTCAGCAGGTTCATCCTCACGCCTGAAACACACACACACACACACACACACACACTGATCACCACTGCACTGGACAGGGGACCAGAGGACAGGAAGTAGAGACGGACCCGCCAGGTTCTGGTGGACCGCCTTCATCTCGCTCTCAGCTCTGATGAAGGCCTCCTCGATCACACGGTTCTTCTCCTCCTCCAGATGCTGCATCTCCACCTCCAGCTGTCCTCGAGCTCGCTCCATCTCCCCCTCATACACCAGGACCTGCTCAGGGAGGAGGAGTTAAAGGCTGGTAACAGGACTCAGAGCCTGGAGACAGGTAGGCGGAGCCAGGTCCTCCAGATGTTACCTGCGTCCTGAGCTGAGCACAGCTCCTCTGGGACTCCTGCAGCTGCACCTCCTTCTCCCTCAGCAGCTGCTTCTGCACGCACAGCTGCTCCTGCAGGCCGGCGTTCTTCATCTGCAGCTCAGCCACAGCTCTGCGGGAGTCAGCCGACTCCCCCCCCACCGCCGGGGCCACGTACTGGGGGGACAGCGGATACGTGTTGGATCCCAGTCGAACCGGGGGGACCGCTCTGACCCGCGTCTCCTCACCTTGACTCTGGGGGGGGTCACCGCCCGCCCGCCCAGCTCCTCCTCACACTCCTGCAGTCGGAGGTGGAGTTCCTTCTGCGCCTCCTCCTGCCTCCTCCGCCCCCCCTCCTGCTGCCTGCGAAGGTTCTCCCCTCGGGAGCTTTTCTCCTGCAGGTCTCGCTCCTCCAGACGCTGCTCCCTCTGCCGGGCCTCTGCATCCTACGGAGACGGAGGTGGTGGATAATCTACGCCATGCCCCGCCCACTCTGTCTGTCTGTCTGTCTCCCTGTCTGTCCGTCCAGTGTTTCCCCTGCCATTATATCGGGCCCACCAAGTCTCCGGCACATACATGCCTACCTGTCTCCCTACCTGTCTGTCTGTGTCTGTCTCCCTACCTGTCTGAGGGGGCAGTGGCTGCAGCTCCCTACAGCAGCATCATGGCTGTGAAGTTCTGAGCTCCTGCTGGACTTCAGCTCCTGCTTCAGAAGCTGGTTCTCCACCAGCAGCAGCTCCAGCTGCTTTTCCAGGTCCGTCGCCCCCTACAGGACACAGAAACCAGCAGACAGACAGGCAGACAGACAGACAGGCAGACAGACAGACAGACAGGCAGACAGACAGACAGACAGGCAGGCAGAGACAAGTGGAGAGATTGAGGCAATATTGTGTTACCTGTGTGACACCTGAACACACAGAGTGTGTGTGTGTGTGTGTGTGTGTGAGAGTGTGTGTGTGTGTGTGGGGGGGGGGGGGGGGCGGAGTCTCACCAGTTCACAGTGAAGTCGCTCCACCTCCTGAGTCTGATTGGACAGCTTCTCCTCCAGCTGCTCCACCTTCAGACACGTTTGGGATCATTTCTGTTTTTTTCTAACTGCTCAAAAGTTTCTGTAAAGACTTTGTGACAAATTTGAATTCATATTTTGTCCCTTTGAACATTTTAAAAGTTAAGTTGACCCACTGTGCACAGGCACATAATCTGATCATCTAGAGAGAGAACACATGAACAGTGACACATGTATGACCAAACACACATACTAAGTCCACAGGTACACACACCTTCACATCACACAGACGTACCTGTGTGCGCAGCCGAGTTACCAGCTGCTCTTCTGCAGGACAGCGAGAGAGCAGCCTCACACCTACACACACAACACGTGTCAACATTTGTCTCCATGTCACAGCGGCCTCCAGACCAGCCATCGCGTTCTTCAATGGTCGTATCAAAGGTTTCCACCATGACATCAAATTAACATCTTCTGATCCGCGTCATCCGCCAGTTCTCACCATGCGGCGGCGAGGTCTGAAGACACGCCTCCTCCTGGACGCTCTGCTGCTGGAGCAGCAGGTGACGGGAGAGTTGTTCAGAGCGAAGACGGGCCTGGAAGTCACAGACTTTATCTTGTAGAGCCTGAACACAACACACATGACTAAGAGTCTACTAAGGAACTACTTTCCAGGATCAGGCCTCTAGGAGCCAATCGGAGGACCAGGAGTCCACAGCACACACACAGTAGATCAACTATCAGTGGGCCGTCTGTGACCAGTCACAGCTATGATGAGCAGGTAGACAGTAGGTGTGTGCGTCTTACCTGGATGAGCAGCTGCTGGCTGGGAGCGCTTGTTTCGGTCGGCTCCGCAGTCAGAGAGAGGCGGTGCGAGAAGGCGGCGGTGGGCAAAGACAGAAAGGAGCCCTCGTCTTCTCCATCACTCATCAGGAAGTCCACTGAGCTGGCTGAGGACACAGGAGGGACAGACTGAGCCCATCAGAGCTACGTCACCTGTACAACTACAGACCAGAGGAGCTACGTCACCTGTACAACTACAGACCAGAGGAGCTACATCACCTGTACAACTACAGACCAGAGGAGCTACATCACCTGTACAACTAGAGACCAGAGGAGCTACATCACCTGTACAACTAGAGACCAGAGGAGCTACATCACCTGTACAACTAGAGACCAGAGGAGCTACATCACCTGTACAACTACAGACCAGAGGAGCTACACCACCTGTACAACTACAGACCAGAGGAGCTACATCACCTGTACAACTAGAGACCAGAGGAGCTACATCACCTGAGGACTTGTGTCTCAACCATATTTGGAAAAACCTGTCCATGCATTTATCTTCAGTAGACTCGACTACTGTAACAATGTGTTACATGTCTGTGTAAAAAGTCAGAAAGCTGCAGCTCGAGTCCTCACAGGACCAGGAAAGTGGATCACATCGCTCCAGTTCTCAGGTCTTTACACTGGCTTCCTGTCAAACAAAGAATTGACTTCAAAATCCTGCTGCTGGTTTATAAAGCACCGAATGGTTTAGGGGCAAAGTGCATTTCTGATCTGCTGATGAACCCTCAGGTCGTCTAGGACGGGTCTACTTTCTGCTCCCGGAGTCAGAGCTAAACACGGAGAAGCAGCGTTCAGTTATGCTCCACATATCTGGGACAAAGTCCCAGAAAGCTGCAGGTCTGCTGAGTCACTCAGCTCCTTTAAATCCAGATTAAAGACTTTGCTGTTTGCTGCTGCCTTCAAATGACTGTTTCTGCAAGTCGGAATTCTAAAAGACATTTTAAATTACACTGCAGTCTTTTTTATCCTTTATTACTGTTTTTCTTTTATGTTTCAATGTATTAATGTTCTTAACGGTTAATGAATCTCTTTATGCTGGATGTTTGTAGTGGTTTCATGTGAAGCACTTTGAATTGTTGTTGAAATGTGCTACATCACCTGTACAACTAGAGACCAGAGGAGCTACATCACCTGTACAACTACAGACCAGAGGAGCTACATCACCTGTACAACTAGAGACCAGAGGAGCTACATCACCTGTACAACTACAGACCAGAGGAGCTACACCACCTGTACAACTACAGACCAGAGGAGCTACATCACCTGTACAACTACAGACCAGAGGAGCTACATCACCTGTACAACCAAAGGACCTGCATCACCTGTAACACCAGAAACCACAAGAGCTACGTCACCTTTACGGCCAAGTCTAGAGGAGCTACGTCACCTGTACCACCAGAGGAGCCATGTGGAAAGATCTCCTGCAACTACATTGACTTCCTGTTTATTTCTGACAAACCTTTAATCACCTGAGGAAAGTGACTTGAACTGACAGAACAAAATGTGTAAAAAGATTTGTTATTGAGCCAAGATTATTAAGGCTTTACAAAACAATACGTAAACTGAATTATGTAAATGAGGACTCTTTCTCTCCTCCTTACGATGGGTCAACCCTTCTCACTCATACTGAATGCCACGGGAACCAGTCTGACCAGATAAGAGCCGATATCATGCAGAGACCCATTGACCATTAGTAACTGTGTGTGTTCGGATTTCAGTAGAGTGTGTGACCACACACGGTCACACACTTTCTACTCAAATCCGATCAATCAGAGAACAATGTGCACTTTGTGAGGAAATCTGAGCATTAAACAGACTTAACTCACAGCAAGTATTTAGAAGTGTTCATGTGGACTCAAACCTACTTTACCGTTCTCATATATATATATATATATATATGCCTCTGATGATTAACTTTACTCAGTTTATAAACAATTCAGGATCCGTAACCCATTAAATTAAACCACTTTCGGTTACTTTTTGGAGACTTATAGCAAGGTGGGCTGCAACTGAAGACATCCGATCATGCCTTCACTAACATCTAATCAAAATCAATCAATATCACACTTCATTTTTCATTTTAAAAGGCACAAAAACAGAAAAAGCTGTAAACAAACCTAAACTTTTAATCCCTGATCAATAAAAACATGCCATTCATTAAGCTTTCCAGCGTCTTTCTGACAAGAACCTGGTTAGAACCTGGTTCCGACCCAAACATCCATAAATACAAGAGACTTCTTCTGCTCACCTGCTGGTCTCACGCTGTGGAGCTCCATTCATTCCAACAAGGTATGACTCACTCAAACACACAGACGCTAAGGCCCCTCCCTCTGTGCGACAGACACCTGACTCACCGTCCAATGAGATGTCTTTCTTCCAGAGGTCCTGCATGCAGGGGGCGTGGCCAAGATCCCAGGTCTTTCTAGTACTGAACATGACCACCGGCTGCAACACCTGCACACACGCACACACACGCACACACACACACACACACACATAGACAGATACACACACAGCCACACACAAGAAGCGGAGCATTAGGCAGGAATGAATTCTAGTCATAATATAAAAACGACTCATTTACAGATTGTACTGTTTTTTTCTAAGTGGTGAAACCAAATGTTACAGTTAGAGCTGCAACAACAAATTGATGAAAATTGTTTATTAAAAGTGTTAGCACCAAATTTTGTTATTGATTTGTTGCATTTACTCCACCACTCAATAGGTGGTGGAGGTGTGTGCGGAGCAAAAAAAGAAAAAAAGCCGAGCCAAGGAAGCGGAAAGAGGAGCGGCAGTTGTGAGTCACATGGCGCAGGTAGAGAAGTCTGTACGACTAGTAGGTCGCCGGCAACGACTACAACCCCCCCGTTATTCCACCGGACCTCCTTGACCGGTCCGCCAAATATTGTCTGTCCGTGAGGTAAAAAGGTTGGGGACCACTGAGATAGAGTACCTGCCTCAGACCTTCAGACTACAGACCCTCAGACGTGTTATTGAAGGGTTCTCGTCATTGGTCCTCTCTTGGAGGACGGAGCACAGACTGGAGACGCCCCACATCACAGAGAGGGGATGCTGACTAAGCTCATATTCAGATGAGTATGTTGTACGCTGTAAACATCGAAACACTGACAATAAATCACCAAACCTGCATCACATCCTCTTCAGGGGAAAGAAAACGGTCCACACACACACACACACACACACACACACACACACACACACACACACACACACACACACACACACACACACACACACAGATGTGTATCTATAGCTATTTATTTACATTAGTGTATGTATAGTTATCCACACTGTGCTTTTTAAGAGCAACAGTAATAAAAGATGTTTAGCTGATGATGGTGAAGATTTAAAACGATAGCAGAAGGGAGGAAACAACTCAAAGCTTAAGCTTGATGTTGTCTGAGCAAACTCATATTCAGGTCATCAGGGCTCCTCAACGCGTCCCTGGTCTTCAGCCCTTTCTCCCGGTGTCTCCTCCACCTCAGTTCCCATAGCACCGGAACAGCCCGGCAGGCGTCACGCCCCCCTCCCCACCGGGCGACGGATAAATATTTCCACCTCACTGAAGCGTGAGAAGGTTGCTCTTTCCCCCCAAACTGAAAATAGGACACAGTCCTTTGAGTGTGCAGAGCAGCATATGAGGGGGGGGGGCACACAACACAACACAACACGACATTGTGTTAATTTATGAATCCTCCTCTCCTGAGGATGAACCTTTAGTGGAGCTGCAGGAGATGAAGCCCCGCCCCAATTTAAGGGGTCTTAATGTTTAAGACATGGACGGGCTGGAGAAGATTAACCATCCCGAGGATGTAGACAGAAGAGAGTGATTATTGATCACCGATCAGCTGATGGACTAATCGTCCTCACGAGACACTGAGACGCTTGTCCCTCAGTCAGTGAGGGTCTGTGTGCAGACTTATAAATTAATGCATTTACGCGATGTACATGTACATGAATATTTATGTACATCTCCACCTTCAATCATTTTTACACAAAATTCAACAGGACAAGATCAACTAAACAAAACCACAGAACTGAAAGCATTTAGATCTCATTTTAACCAGAATGTTCTTCCTCGTCACACTTTGTTTCTGCTGGTTCCAGTTAAATCCTATCTTTGTTTCCTGCCATTAGCAGGGGAACGCCAAGCACGTGATCTTAGGAGGTGGAACGTGTCCTCGCTGCATTCCTGTTCCATGAGGTCATGATCTGGGAGGATCCCAGATCAGTTATATAACCACCGATTCATCACCTGATGAGGTCATGTGACTCTGCTTGGGTCATCACGACGTTATCATTTATTATTTCATTGTGGTCAAACATAAGTTTATACACCATCTTAATATTTAAATAGTAAATGTCAATAAGGATCAATAAATATTTGTAAACAGTAAATGTATTTAATAAAAGATTAACAATAATAATACAATTCCAACGATTGTCCTTGTACTACTTGTACCATTCAGTCTACTCTTACTAATTGTACAAAGTTACTCATACTACTCAGACCACTTACAACTCGGACTAGTCAAACTAGCCGTACCACTCGTACCACTTGTCCTACTTAGTCGTACTACTTGTCCTACTTGTCGTACTACTTTGTGGCCTCGCAGGTCTGCCTGCTGACGCCCTCCGCTTGATGCTCCCATTTTCTATCTAGAAAACATGAATGTGGCATCCACCAACTTGTTTCCTCCACAGAGTATTTGTGCTTTCTCGCCTCGCAGGTATCCACGGATCCTGGTTCTATCGAGCTGCTGCGCCTGCTGACACCTGCACCTGGTTGCCCCTGCAGTGGTCCTGCCGTACACCTTACTCCTACTTACAATTATTTAAATCTCGGTTAGGGTTAGGAATTATTTTATTTTTACAACTCGTACTGGGGCTCACCTGAACTCGCCTCCTTCTGTTGGGGACTTTACGTACACTCCCTCCTGGTAATCTTTTCCCTTCGGACTTGGAGATCCAGAGTCCTCTTTGGACCTCCTCCAAACCTTCTCCAGACATGGACGGCCTACAGCCCTCTGGGTTCCCTGCGGGCTCCAGGGCTCTGCTGTTCCAGCGCCTGAAGAGGCTGTGGAGGGTCAGGACAGCCAGGCTGCACAGGACGTACATGACCTGATCCTCAGCTCAGAGCAAAGGCTGCTCCAGATGGATGTTCAGCTGCATCCCGTATCTGAACACAGGTGAGGAGGAGCCAGCTCTGGTCCAGGAGTCTTACAACCTCAGATTATAAATCAGTCTGAAAAGCCAGACTTTTAAAATATGAGGAAGCTCAGCAGCTCTGAGTAATTCTCTCTCCCAGTCGACAGCTCGCTTCCACGGAGCTGATAACTCGTGGACCTTGCCCCGTCCCGGGTTTGATAGGAAACTGGATCCAGCAGCTTCAGCTCTCATTTTAGCTGCTGACTGAAGTGGACCCGTTAGAGCCTTTCAGGTCACAACTGACACATACATATAAATATATATATATGACTTATTATATAGAAAAAAGTCGGCATCTCATTGATACAAGTCTGTTTTCATCAGTCTAAAGGATTAGAAAATATAGAGATGAATATTTTTGTATAATTGTTATTATTATTGTTTAAAACAATAACAGATTTTCTGCTAGGTTTAGTTTGAAATTATGAAATTCAAAAAATATTTTTAGACAACTTCAAATGCAAATAAATAAAGAAATAAAGGTCATAAATAGAAATTAGCTCTAGAGGTTTACAGCTCAAAAGAAATTCTGTAATGTTTAAACTTTTTAAATCTTGACTTGACTTTTAAGTTATGATTTAATTAAATATCGGTACGCTGATTCCATTATGTGAAAGAATCTACCAAGAGGAAAACAAGGCTGCAAACTTCCCAACGTTTCTTCTCCAGACTGAAAAATAAATCCAGATCATCTGTTGAGTCCGTTAGCTCCTCATTAGCTCCTGGCTAGCTGTGACTGGATGAGCAGCAGCTCGTCTCCTACACGACATGCGCCATTAGAGCGAGGGAGACAGGGAGGGAGACAGACCTCTCGCTCTCCTGCCCCCCTCCCCCACTGCACTGACCCAGGACCATCTGTTGTTGCTGGAGGATAAAACTCCAATGATGTAATATGAGGAGAATCCACATGCTTTTATGTTTAATATCAGCATCAAGTCTTCACACGAAGGTTCTTAGATTCTCACAGAACTCGTTAACGTTTAGTTCAGTGATTTTACACTTGAATCTCAAATCAATGTAATTATAATCGGCCCTCTTTTTATTCTCATGGCAGTCTTGTATTTTATATCTGTAAATATGCACATTTATTTATTTTCTAAGCTTATAAACACACTTCTTTTAAGGTTTTCTTACTTTAAGCACTCATTGTATCAGAGTCGAATACTTTACAAATATTTAAATGTTTTTTTTAAAACATTTAAATATTTAACTGGTCAGAGGCGACCTCTTTGCTCAGTGACCTGGAAACCTGGACCCCTAAACCAGGCGGGCTCTGGGACCATTGGGGCTGGACCCCTAAACCAGGCGGGCTCTGGGACCATTGGGGCTGGACCCCTAAGCCAGGCGGGCTCTGGGACCATTGGGGCTGGACCCCTGAACCAGGCGGGCTCTGGGACCATTGGGGCTGGACCCCTGAACCAGGCGGGCTCTGGGACCATTGGGGCTGGACCCCTAAACCAGGCGGGCTCTGGGACCATTGGGGCTGGACCCCTAATCCAGGCGGGCTCTGGGACCATTGGGGCTGGACCCCTAAGCCAGGCGGGCTCTGGGACCATTGGGGCTGGACCCCTAAACCAGGCGGGCTCTGGGACCATTGGGGCTGGACCCCTAAACCAGGCGGGCTCTGGGACCATTGGGGCTGGACCCCTAAACCAGCGGGCTCTGGGACCATTGGCCCTAGACCCCGTTAGCAGTGTGACCAACAGCCAGTGAATGAAATTTTTGGATCAGTTCAGGACCAAGTACATCAAGGGAACCGTTCTCTGAAACATTCAAGCAACAAAAGGTTGCGTTTCAGGTCCACCGCCCACATCCAGGTTCTTAATGGGGGGGGGGGGGGGCAGCGAAGACAAACCGTCAAATGGTAGCAAGCCCCCCAAAACATACATTTCACATACCAAACGTTTAATGTTGCCTTATAGTTGAATGTTGTATTATATCAAGTTTTATGTCTTATTACATCAAGTCATAGTGTGTCAATAGTTTTAAATTGTATTATCTGCATTATATCAAACATTTTAACATATTATATCAATAGCTTTAAGTCGAATTATATAAATTATTTTAAGTCGTAGTATATTAATAGTTTGAAAGTAATGAGTAATCACTTCAATCAAAGCGTGTATTTTGCTCTCAACTCTCCATCATTTGACGTGTTTGACCATTGTCTTTTAGGGACACAGTGGTGGTCCTCTGCAGGGGAGATGTTGAGATGGTATAAGTATATATTTTTTGTTAATAAAGTTTTCCTTTGAACCTGGTTGTTTGTGTGTCTGCACGACTCACACTGGAACAACACATGAGACGCTTCTCTGTAGACGCTGCAGACGGACGTCCCCAACAAGCGTCTCCGTCCAACACAAGGACGCAGCTCAGTGGAAGAGGAGTCCATTCACTAAACACCACCTTGTCCTTTCCTAATCCTCATCAACTCTCCTAACCATCTTTCGTTGACCCGGTGACGTTTTCCAGAGGTCAAAGAATAGTTAGAAATAGATGTTAGGGGGTCATTTTTTGGACAATTCGAATCCAGCCAAGGTTTGCAGACGCCCTGCAGGATCATGGGAGATCTGGTTCAACAGCTCCACCTGCTGGAAGAACCAGATCACGGAGTGTCAGCCAACTCCTCCTCCTCCTCCTCCTGCCCCTCCTGCTCCTCCTGCCCCTCCTGCCCCTCCTCCACGTCTCTCTTCCCCTCAAAAAAGTGTGAAGATGTGAGAGTAAGAGAATCTGACGTTAGGCACATGCCAGTGAACGCATCATATGTTCCTGTTTAGTCTGAAGTACTACACAGCAGACGCCATGGGGGTCGCCCAGCTGTTAGCCTAGCCGTTAGCTCTCTCTTATGGCGACATCTAGTGAAAGTTATTAATGAAGGCAGAGTGTTTCCAATCTGGGAGAGAACCAATGAGAAGCAGACTGTTGAAGGTTTGTTGGTGTAGAACATCGGAGAGGACGTCCTCCTCAGTGAGACATGTTATTTAAGGCCTTATGTGGGGACACACCCTGCAGATTACACACACACACACACACACACACACACACACACACACACACACACACACACACACCCACAGACAGGAAACCAGGGGAAGAGCTGAAATTTCTCCCAACATCTGGATGTTTTACACGAAGCCCCATCACACCACAGGTCATTTAGCTGACTCTTTTATCCAAAGCGACTTACATTACATTTTTAACTCCTGGTTTTTTTTGTTTTTGCCCAGGGAGCAATTAGTGGTTAGGTGTCTTGCTCAGGGACACATGGGGCAGCCGGGGCTCGAACCGTCGAACCGGTTCCTGGTGGCTAGGGTCAGGAGCACCCTCTACTCCATGCGCCAGTCGACCCCTGACCCACTGTGATCCACAGAGACACTCCACAGAGACACTCCACAGGCAGGGGGGTCAAACTCTTCTCACTTTGGTCGAAGGGGGCCAGACCATTAAAATCATCGGGTGCCTCTGGAGCCGACTGGCGGACCGAGGGGGGCGGGCCAGATGTGATTGACAGGGTGTCTCACAATTCTCACAATAGCAAAGTCATCCGGCAGGGCGGATTTGGACCGAGAGTTTGACATATGCGCTCTAGAGAGACACTTCACACTAAAGAGACACTCCACTCCACAGAGACACTAAAGAGACACTCCACTCCACAGAGACACTAAAGAGACACTCCACTCCACAGAGACACTAAAGAGACACTCCACTCCACAGAGACACTAAAGAGACACTCCACTCCACAGAGACACTAAAGAGACACTCCACTCCACAGAGACACTAAAGAGACACTCCACTCCACAGAGACACTAAAGAGACACTCCACTCCACAGAGACACTCCACTCCATAGAGACACTAAAGAGACACTCCACTCCACAGAGACACTCCACTCCATAGAGACACTAAAGAGACACTCCACTCCATAGAGACACTCCACACCACAGAGACACTTTACTTCACACTAAAGAGACACTCCACAGAGACACTCGTTACATTAGTTGGTGGACAAAACTACTATATTAGCTGTATAACTTACTAATGATTAATGCTTTAGTGATGAGTGTTATTATTTAATGGACGTACTGAAACAAACAGTCATCCATGAACAGGTTCCGCCTCACTGGCCGAACAGGTGAGGCTGCGGATTCTTTTGTCAGGAAAAAAAGCGACGAAAGTTCTGGACGTTCGCATGAAAGGAGACGCGCGAGACCGTTCTGTTCAACGGGGACAACCGGAATAGACCGAGAGAAGGACGCGGGGCGGAACCAGGACAGACGCAGGACAGACACGGGACAGACGCAGGACAGACACGAGGCAGCCCCAGGACAGAACCGGGACGGACACGAGACAGACGCGGGACAGACACGAGACAGCCCCGGGACGGAACCGGGACGGACACGTCGGTCAACCGGGAGATGGCGTCCCCACGAGCCCCCACCGACACACAGACAGCAAAGACTCCTTACCTCTCAGTCCATAGTGGGGACGTCTGTCCGTCTTCCTCGTCCTCACTCGCACAAAGAGTCTTCGGCTGATTAGAAGCTGAACGTCGCTTGTTTGCAGGCGAAGCGTCGCCGCTAAAAGTCAATTCTGCTGCTGTTTGTGCTGCCTTCACGGACCGTCGGACATGTGGGGATCCGGTGGTGTGAGGGCGCTTGGGCGCGAGGAAAAACACTGATTTTATTCAGGGCGGGTCCGCGCGCATCAGGGAATTGTTCCACAGTTCAAAACAAGAAAAAATGTTGACTTGTGCCCCCTGAGTTTGGCCCCATATGACGTCATAGAATTCTTGATGTGATAGTTTATTTAAATTATAAAGATAATTATGTGTGGCCGTTTATTAAATCTCACTTTATACAATGAGTCTTTGTACCTTTTGTTGAGCAATGACATTGTAAAGTAGCAGTTGAGTCATGTGACCAATACAGCGTTGGAAATACACAAGGGCAAAATTGCCCCCAAGAAATATAATTTCCCCCCGATATTACGAGAAGAGGGGCAAAAAATGTAGTTAACTTGTCAAAAACATCATAGCCGTAATGACCCGGTCCATTTGTCATAGAATGTTTTTGATTCTTGACTTGACGGATGTTGCGTGTGCAGGTAGAATCAAACGTTCTTAAAGAAAAGCGGCGCTTCCTAATCAGACCTGTGAGTGCAGGAGAAGAAATCCACCCTCCGTCACCGTTTCAGGCTCAAAAGAAGAAAAAAAACACACGCAGTTTTTGCAAGGCTGTCAAGGGACTCAAACTGCCAACGTCATTGTCAACCAGCACCGGCGAATTCTACTGCTGACTTTATCAAGGGGAACGAAAACATACGAAATAATGATGAAATACGTGTGTTTTTATCGCCAGACAGCTAAGCAACATACCATCGCCTAC